CATTCTGTAATACTTCAATATCCTCAGTATAGCTAGAAATAACCGAGATTAATGTTATCAGCAAGTTTTACTAATTTATAAATTATAACCCTATGCATATTGTTAATATAAATAAAAAACAAAGGCTCAAGCAATGACCCTTGAGAAATTCCACTAATAACAAGAGTCCAGTTCTCCTAAACTCCATTTGCTTTTTACCATCCAATCACCTCACAACACAATTAGTCTCCCCCCAAACCCCTACTGATATAAATTCAAGAGTTAATTATTTTTCCTGATGATTATTTACCTCAGGCCTCAGCACCATATTATTTTGCAAGAGACTGATCATTATGTCATCAGTTTGGTACCAAACACAATGTGTTTTTGGGGGGCAGTTATGTTAGTGTGAGTAGTAAATGACATAGCAATTCATAACATGATTTAGATGTAACACTTACCAGTAACTCCTGTTCACTTGAGCTGCATTTTTACCATGTCTGTGACAGTTGGAACAAAACGGTTTCAGTCCATCAACTTCATCTTCCATTTCCAATCCTCAAATCCTTTGGGTTTTGTTATCTTTTCTCATACTTTTGGTCGCATTAACTTTTTTTTTTCTGATGCACTTTTATTATTTTTGTCAGTGTTATTTGTCAGACAACAAATCTATTCATGGCATATAGAAACAATAGTAGGCACATAATGTATATGACATAATTATTATACTATTTGACTTAGAAGTATTAGTTGTATGAAGTCCTGTTTTAAGTGGAGAAACTCCAAAAAGTAGTTCTTGTGTTTTGATTAGGATTATTATCGGGTGGAGAGATATTTAGATAAGATTTAAACACAAAAATAAAGCAAAAATTTTCACCAGCAGTATGGAAACTTGACAGACTTGTTTGATACAATTGTTTTGATCTTTTAAGAACTTTGATCAGTGAGGATTGATTAACAGGATTAATTTTGCACCATGCAATGCAAAAGAGCTATTTAATTTTCCATTTTTATGTTTGTTCTTTTACCCAACCTGTTTTTTTTTTGCATATGCACATATAATTTTTAAGTATTTGTTGAGAATAAGTAAATATCAATCAATACATTTATTTAAATTTTTCACAACTCAAATATATATCACTGTAAATATTGCCTTTAAAATATACCAGTGACAAGTTTTCTCCCATTAAAAAGGTATCCTAGCCCCATTTTACTACATTCTAGATAAAAACCCTGTTACAAGGACAATTAAAATTTATTCTCTTCTTTGCTTAGTCACCTTTTTCAATCTAATTAATAAAAATTAATGAATGCTATCTACCACAAGTAACAAAATTAAACTTTCAGATTCTGTCCAAAGGTATTATGGAATAGTTTCACTTAAAATTATATATATATATTATTTTATCAGTTATTAACACTTTTTTGCCTCTTTCTCACACACACACACACATATGAACAAAAGCAATGGTCACCAAACTTAATTCCTAATCTCACACACCTCCAAATCTTCTTCAATCAGTTGAAATCTGAGTTGTTGGCTTTTTTTTTTAAAGTTTGGAGTATTGTTTAGTCTTAACTTCCTATATTTTGGCATTGTTCAATGTTGGCTACTGTTGGATCATTCTTTATTTTTTGTATTAAACAATTCAAGCATTTTGAATACCAAATATCACACCTAAAGACATAAAGTTAGTACAGAGTAGTTTAGCAAATGGTTTTTGTCCAGTACCATTCCCTTCAACAACAATCAAATTAGTATTATATAAAAAGCCATTCATTGTGTAATGTAAACAAACAATTGTAACTGTAGGTTCATGGAACTATGTGTACATCAAAGTAATAATAAAATGACTTTTGAAAACAGTCCAAAGGAAATATAAATTGTATTGTCAATTATAAAATGTAACATTATATTCTTAGCTCTTTTAGTGCACATTCAATACAATAATGATCTTATGCACGTTCATAAACCTTGTTTTACAGGTTTATTGTTTTTGGATTTTTTTTTATTGAATCTTTTTTTTTTCATTTATTATTGGGTAGATAGACTTTTGAATATACATACATAATAATTCTGACTATATTATAGTGGTAAAATATATATTGTAAAATTAAGAAATGCAACTATTTATTGATAGGATAAAATTTATTTATTGGCATTCTGCTGCATAGTTAAATGTTGCTTAGTCTGTTGTGTGCGTGTGTTGGACAAATGTTTGAAATTTTGTAGATTTTATTTTCCTTTCAAATGCCATTAGTTCTAAAAGACTTCTCTCATTCTTGCTTTTTGTACTTTCAGATTTATGGAGAAGACAGAGCCAAATTTCTTACTGAAATGCAAGTAATCTGGAAACACTGTCTTCATGTATCACAGTACTTTGGTGACTTTCTTTCTCTAACTTTATCTGCCATACCATATCTTAATATGACTAAGGTAAGAATCTTACTCATCCTTATTCTGGTATGTACTTTTACCACAATCTAACAAGGTCAAAACCTCTTTCCACTATACTTAATACACATAATATTGTAATCTGTCCAAGATAGATTTGGGCTCAGTGTCAACTTTTAGTACTTGTTACTTAAATTTTGATAAAAAGTAGATATAATAGAGACATATATATGTGTGTGTATTAAATCCCTGTAAATCTACCTTTAGTACTATATAAGCACATTTTCATTAACCACATTACCAGAAGTATTAACTCTTCTAATACAGGTGGGTGGATTCCACCCAACCCGTATTCCTGAAAGTAACCTAAAGGCAGTTATACTGTAACTTTTTAAAATGTACGTATATCTTCATGAAATTTTGCAGATTATCAGTAAACATTACACAGCATTCATACACAAAGTATCAGATTTTAAATTAAGTTTTAACATTCTTTAACTAATTCTTTGCTCGTGCGTTTTTTATTTTCAAGTGTTGACCATCCAACATAGAAAATATTTTGAATTTGAAATTAAAAATATATTTATGCATCAGAAAATTTTAAAATTTTATGTGCAAAATCTCTATAGTCTACTATTATCCTCCAGATAATTATCGAACATTTTTTCAGAAAAAAACTTTATATTTTATCTGTTATCTTCACTGTCTTATCTCTATATGGGTTTGGTCGATTTGAACTGACCTCGTAACCACCATAAAGAAATTGGAAATAGATATAAATTACACTTTTTTTCATTCTAGAATTACTACAAATTATAACACAAAACCACAAATGTTTAGTCTAGATAGCTTAAATCTCATAACATTTTACATATATTAAAATTATTTTTATTTTATTGACCTTTCAGCAGTGTCTGACTAACATTACAGAAGTTGAATGATGCACATGCACTTATGTTACTGTATCCAGTAATATAAAACTGGTCTTTATGAAGCGACCTGTCTAGGCTGTGTTCTAGTAGACCAGTATTTTGTAAAATACAGTCACATTTCAGTTGTAATACATTATATATTATTATTTACAAATAAATTCTTTAATTTCAGTTATTTTTCTTAAAACATAGGACAATAAATAAAGAAGTATAGAGAAGAATTATCTCTTCTAATTACGAACTTTGTACTCGTTTGCTGCTTGCCGTGATTTGCTAAGCTTTATCAAATTTCACATGTGGAGAATGTAAAACAAAACATTTTTTTTAGGTTTTATAAATGCATTTTGAAATAAAAAATCATAAATTACTACATAAATATCACAGAATTCCACTATAATTCATCAGGCTTAGTAATTAAGCTGTATTTGGGTCTAAAAATATATGATTTTTCAAGCTCAGTGATGTCTTACTTTACATTTGGAATCTACCATGAAAAGAAAGGGTTTCTCACATAAATTCTTCACAGAGGATCAGAGAACCATGTGGGGGACATTCTGAGCTTTCGATTGGTTATTCACACGTCATAAACAGAAGTAGGTGTACATAAGCAAGTATTTCCAAAAATGAAAAGAGGTGGGCAAGGCCACTATGTTTGATTCACTAAATGTACCAATATCTCAGCAAATAGAAAAGATAAGAAGTTATTATTTTATATTCTAGCTTGTCAATATCGGTAATTTGAGTTCCTAATTCGTAAGAAATTATAGAATTTGTACTTGGACTTCAAAAACATCTAATCTAATCTGTATTCAACATACCACATGACACACAAAAATTGATATTTTGGATTTTTTTAACATTTACTAATATTTGATATTTAAAAAAGTTAACTAATGTACAATACTAAAATTTGAATTATAATCTACTGTTTGATACCAAACATATTGACATACATTCTTAAAATAGTATATCAATAAAATTTTGAGTGTAAGTCTACAAATGTGATGATGTGGCCTTTGACCCGTGACTATAGGAAAACCCATCTTAGTAGGGTTGAACTGAATGAGCTAATTATCTTATCCTATATGTGGTGATATACAGTAAAAATGTCTAGTATCCAAAGTAAGAACAGTTTGAAATGTATATTAATTTTAGCAATCATTTTAGTTTCCTGTTGTAGGTTCTCATTTCATTCCCCGTCCTCTGAGCTTTTTATCTGATGCTTCTCTCCAGGTGATGTTTGGGAACCATTACCTTTAGAGTCTGTAGTCTTATCTCATTCTTACATTATTCTGTTAAATCTCTCACTATGAAGTTGGTGGAATTGACTGACTTTGTAACCATTTTGTACTCTTTATAGTTCCCATAATATAACTTTTAATACACTTTGTATATCTTTACAAAATTTGGCAGACTTTTAGTAAATATGAAAAGTCTTTTGTACACAAAAAATCATTTTTTAATGAACTATTTTTACTAAAGATTTGTCCATGAATATATTTAGTGCATCTATATACTAGTCCAAGTACTAAGTGATATCCACATTAAGATTAAAAATACTTTTCTTCATCTCAAAAAACTCAAATTTTATTTGCATAATTCCTAAAACCTCTTAAATAAATTTCAAACGTTCTGGCCCCTCCTTTTTTTTAATATCTAATATTTTTACATGCTGCTAGTGAGAGAACCTGTTGTTAAAATATTTGAATCCCACCACTGAATTAGAATATGAATTATTAGCAATGTTTTTTATGCTATATTTATTGGTATAATATGAAAAAAAGTAGTTTAATTAAATTTTGAATTTAACTCAGTAAAACTGCATGACATGTACAGTAAAAGATGCCTGTGCAGAGAGTTAACTCTTTCCACATGGGCTCAGCTGAATCGACGAAGTTTTTGTCCTTGTTACAGTTTCCATGCTATAATTTCTAATACAGTATGTGTATCTTCACAAAATGTGGCAGACTTTTCATAAACATTACAAGACTTTTGTGCAGAAAAATTAGTTTTTGAACTAAGTATTTTTATAAAGATATGTCTGTGAATATATTGAGTAGTTTTGTTTACTAGTCCAAGTGCAAAGTGATTTTATTTGAAGGTTAAAAATACTTTTATTTATCTGAAAATTTTCAAATTTAATTTGTGTAATCTCAAAGAAAACCTTCTAAATAATTATAAAAAGTTATTTTTCAGAAAAACTTCATATTTTGTCTGTTTCTTTCTCTACCCTAACTCTATATACGAGAGGCCAGTTTGACTGACCTCATAATCACCAAAAACAAAACAAAATTGAAATAAATCTAGATTACCCTTTCTTTCTTTCTAGAATGACTTCAAATTGTAACGTGAAACTACATTTGGTTATCCTAAATAGCTTTAAACTCATAACAATATTCCTCTGATTATACTTAAGTTTTATTGTTTTATTGCCCTTTGAAGTGTGTCTAAGTTAATATTCCCACCTTAACATTTGCAAATCAGCTGGTGAATGTGCAGGTCATGTTACCCTATTGAATTACATAATGCATAGGCTACTCGTGAACTGCTCACTAGTATATCATGTGAAAAAAAAATTTTTATTATTATTCTTTATTTTACCTTATATAACCTAAAAAGTTTCTAATTTTTACATTTTAGTTACTTTTATAATAATAAATAATTAATACACAAGAAAAGCAGAAAATACAGTTCTTACCTGGGTCTTCCTTTTTTATGTTGACTGTTGATCACATTTAACCCTGTTTTTTTGTACTAATGGTAGCACTGCACTAAATAATTTTTTATTAAATGTAGTTAGGGCTCAGTTAAGGAATTAGATTTCCCACACTCATTTCTTTAATGAGTATTAATGCAATTTATATGCCAGAAAGCAAGCATGTGATCAAAACAACCAGAAAGATGCATGGAATGAAGTTAAAGATAAGCATTTTACAGGATCAAATACTGAATGACTTCAATTACGGGTTCACGTAGAACAAAATATTAAAATGTGTGGTATTTCATTATTAGCTTGAAGTTCCTATCCTATTGGAAGCCTATCACCTTGTTAACTGTTGTCAAGAATATCCTGGAGTAATTTCAGGCTCTGTATTTTACAAACAAAAGTGAGTCCTTATGTATCATTATATTTATGCTTGTAATATATACTATTATGTACTTATATTAGCATATTTTAAAGTTTTATATCTTGCTATATTCTCATATAACTAGAAAAGCCTGAAATGTCATTTCTGTATTGTTTTCATAGTCTTTAAGTTATTTAAAATCCTCATTGGATTTAATACCATTGGAGATTTCCATCTGTATTCATCAAGAAGGTACAAGTATCTGACAGCAGAAACTTCATGATCTTCTCATTATTCATAAGTAACAAAAGAAAGAATTATAAAAAGGCCTTGCTCTGTGTACATATTAAATGAGTAAAAACATAAAAATATGGATAATTATTAATTAGTTTTTAAATTATAAACTGCTTTATATGAAAACTTTTGCATAATGCAGTTGTTGTTAATATTTAAAAGTACATAGCATCCTTGGTTACTGCATATCAAGCTTAAATTGATTCTTGCCAAATGTCTTGCAGAAAAAAGTGTTCCTTCTGGTGCCTCAGTTCTAAGCTCGGAAGTTTGTAAAGCTCAAATGAAAACAAGCGCAAACGGTTTTCTAATTAGTTAAATAGTTTTTGGTGACTACATGCTTTTTCTCAAAGATGACTACTTATCAAAGATAATCTTATCTCACTGTAGGATCATATAGTAGGGAGTTCCCTTGTTATTACTTGAGTTATTTGGGGATAACAAAAGAACGGTAATGTTGTAGAGATTTCCAGTATTTATTTACATCATTATAAGATAACAAAAAAAAGTCATCTAAAGTAACATTTAAGGAAAGAATTAGAAAAAATGTTTTGGAAGTTAACAAAGATTGTTAGAAATTATTACTAGCTAGCAGAAACGTGTGAAACATTTGTGATTAAATTTGTATCTTTATTGCAACAGTGCTTCATTAAATACAGGATTTCTAGAGTAATACAAAAGAATTATAATTGCTGACACTGAAATCTATAACTTCACTTGTCTTAGGCCTACCATTAGTTAAGCCTTTATAAAGTACAGCCTATATTTGATAAAGAAATAACTTAACACTGTAACTATTGAACATTATTTGCTTTAGTTAAGTTAGGGCTAAACTTTAGTGTACTTTATACTATCAATAAATAAACTTATAAAGTTATTCTATGGCCTAACATGAGACTTTTTTAAAAACTTTAAGCTTTTAATATGTTGTTGTGCAAAATGTCTATTAAAGTATATTTACATCTATTTAAGTGAATTGCGTGCACATGCACATTTAGATAGTAAGTAGCATGCACATTTTGGGTATTATTATAATAGATTGTTCTTAAAAGCAGTACCTGTTCATTTAGTGATCCCTGCATAAGGACTCAATAAAATAAATTGATACTAAATTATCTATCATAAATCCAATTACTCAGTTAACAAAAAATTACTTGTCACTCATTTCGGAAATGGTTTGCTTAAAATGTTGAAGGAGTACTATCCATCAAATTTATTTAAATGTTGGTTCTTCTTCTTCTTCTTCTTTTTTTTTTTCTTTCTTTCTTTCTTTCTTGTCATTACAAGTGTTTTTATCTTTTTCCATAAAATCAACTCAAGATGGCCTATATAATCAGTATTCACTTGCTTTGTATGGAGCAATTTTTCCATAACTTTAGGAAAAAATAATTCTAAGCATTTTAATAAATAAACATTTGAGAGTTTTATTTTGTGCAGGTTTTTCATCATCTTCATTTTTTTCTAATATATATATGGCAGTTTGTTGCTCAACAAGATTTCAAATTTTTTATCAGCATTCTTTTGCTTATATTTTGTGCCTAAAAACATCTTGTAGTAACATAATGTATCATGTATCAGTTCGTGTACTGTTTTGTGACAATTTGTTAAAAATTTTGTAAGCAATATTTATAAATTATTTTAATATGTATTATTGCAGTGTGGTCTGTACATACTTACCTCCTGAGATTATCCAGATGTTACTTATACTTGAGTATATAAATAAGAAGGTATGTTTGTGTTTTTAATTTAACATCGAAATAATTATTGTTTCAGTGTAGCTTAATACAGATAGACATAAGATAAATAAATGTAGATATCATTTTTAAGAAGATTATAAATAAGAACTGTTTTAAGTAATAATTTGGAAGAACTGCTAATGTTATGATTTTCTTTTTTGTGTGTGTGAGAGTTTTGTGTTTGATGGATCTAATATTGGGTTTAAGGTTTTTATTGTCAATTTACATATGTATGATGAAAACTAATATGAATGATATATTCTGTGCATGTGGTGATGGCAAACATGGTAAGTGAAAAAATGTCTATTATATGCAGTGTCTTAACTACAAAAGATGCCCACTCTCCTGCATAAAAGTAATTAAGATTTCTACATTTATTCCCCTTGTCATCAATACTTATGTTTGTCAGGCCCTTTGGGATGGGAGACCCCACAATTCCAGGGGCATATTTATGCCACTGATGACATATCTGAGCTTTACATTTTATCCCACTCATGAATCAAAGCAGGAATAGTGAATTGCATATTTCAACCTCAGAAAATTTATGCTGTCTAAAAAACCAAAGAAATAAAAATAATATAGTTTTTAATAATAAATTATTATTACTTCGTCAGATACTGAAATATCCTTCTTGCAACTTCATTACAAATGTTTTAATGGACACATGTGTATTCAAGCTTTTTTAAACATATTTGTGGACCATAATTTAACTACACAAGTTTATCAAGACATCTTTCAATTCATCTACACACAAATGACTCAGACTTTATTATTGAAGTAGCCAGTGTCTTATATTCCCAGAGAAAAAAACATTCTCTGGAAGTTGAAAGTTACAAATTTCTGTTAAATGTAAATTCTATTCAATTTTTTTAGGAATTGAAATTAGTAAGTCTAATTCTGCAGTATTCCTAAAATGTTTGCATCATTGACAGTTTTCCACACAGATATTTATCTTAAAACAAATTCTGTTGTTGTTTTGATAATAAAGTTAGAAAAAAAATGATCTTTACACTCCAGATAATTATATTTTATAGGGACCAAGTGAGTGCTCAGTGATTAGTGTGCTGGACTGTAGATCTAAGGCTATGTGGTTCATACCCCAAAAAGAAATTGTGTTGGGACCGTGGTGTATTAGAAGAAGGATGGTCAAATTCAACTATTCGGTCTGATAAGAGTAGCTCAGGAGTTAGTGGTGTTAAATAAAGGCCTTTTCTCTAGTTTATTACTTCAAAATTAAGGATGGCTAGTACAGACAGCTCTTAAGTAGCTTTGCATGAAATTAAAAATACAGTATAGGAAGTTCACATTTTCTAAGTCTGTTGTACTGTCATATTTTAAACGAGAAGCTATTGATTAAATAGACCAAATGTAAAATTTCCTTCTTGAAATGGTTTCCTGTGTATTATCACTATTTTGTTGTTTAATATAAACCTTGGGAGTCAGTTTGATAAGTATAAAAGTAGCATTCAATTTTTTTTTCTGTATTTTTAGGTTCACACAGTTAATACACTCGGACATTTAACAATACCTCCTGGTGTCAGCCTCATACAAGTCTACTTGACCAGAGATCAACTAATAAGTGTCTTAACGAATGTTTACAAAGGTTATTCTGCATGTTCCAAAATGATGGACCACAGTAAATCCCAAGTAAACAATGTTACATCAAAAGAATCAACTTTGAGAAATAAAGAGTATGTGTCATATAGTGACAGTGAACTTAAGAACAACAATGCCAGCTATAAGTGTACTAAGAAATTTTCAGCATCCTGTTTATCAAAACATTTATCTTTAAGAGACAACCATGTTAAGTGTTGGAGTGATATCTCCGGTCTCTACAGTGAGTTATATCTCTTTAGAGCTAAATCAGTTTCTACTAGTCTGCTTTATGAAAATGGTTCTTCTCAAGTTGCTGTGGAGGCAAAAGAAAAATCTAAACTTAAGGTCAGATGCAATTGTTTAGTTGAAGCTTTAAGTGCAAAACAAGAATTTGAATCTTTACATCAAGAAGTCCAAAACTCACTCTCTGACCTTTCAGTAGGTCCAGTTTTAAAGTTAAAGAAGAAGCTAAAACTACAGATCTCAGGGAATAACCTACCATATAAATCTACATTTACAAACAATATAAGAATGTCTCAAAATTGTCACAAAAATAAGAAGAAAATACAAAATTTGGAAGAGCATCCCTTGAATTTGCATGTTTCAAATATGCCAGACCATTCTCTCATGTCTTCTAGACAATCTTTGCATCACTACGTACAGGAAAGCAAAAATATTTGTTGCGAGAATCAAGACTTTCTTAAATTAGATACATTGAGTGCTCAAAAGGATGGAGCCAAAGAAAATGTTCACAACTCTCAAGACCTTGATGTTTGTTTTACATGCAATAATTCCAGCTTTAAGACTTCAATAACTGGAGAAACCTCTTGGTCCTACCCTCTTCTGACCACTCATCCTCACTTAGGTTTGCAGAAGAATTTACTTTATCCAATAAAGTGCAATGTTTCTTCAGATGTTAGTTCATGCATTGATATGGACAAAAAGAAACTGAGTTTACAACATCTTTCTTTCAACACTTCAAATTTTGAGTCTCCAACTTGTCTCTTGAAACGAGAGAACTCACAAACTGCTGTTCCCAAAAAATATGTATCAGTATCTTCTGGTGAGGGCATTGACCAAGACAGTGAAAAGGAAGAGCTATATCCATTGACACTATATATCCAGAAGCACTGTGAAATGGTGATGGTTCTTCTTCTGGACCAGGAAACAGGGTTTCATTCACAGAATATTCGCTCTCTGGTAAGTGTATATCGTATTCATTTGTTTAATTTTGTTTTTAATAAGTTTTAAGGTATTTTACAAACACAAGTTTAAAAAAAATTTTTGTATGATACCATTTGTGTTATTCCTCTACAAATGACCATTTTCTGGTCATAAAATAATTATTAAGTGTTGCTGTTAGCAATAATTATTCTGGTTTTTAAGTAAAAAACCAGGTTTGATTTGGCCTTCTATTAACGCATCCAATTAGTCATGTATAACTTGAAATTAAACTACCTTATAATTAGGAAAATTTGGTTGAACTTTAACAGGAGTAAAAACTGTTAAAGTCAATGCAATAAATCATGGATTTCTACAAAAGTTTATCAGTTTTATAAATGAAAACTCCTTTTTAACTTGTTTCTAAGCGTATGATCCTGAAATAACTGTCTTTGTTTAGGATGGTGGGGGGGGGGGTTAATTTGCACAAGACATGTTGTAGGTTTCAGTCACACTTGTCCAATCATTAAAGGGAGTTGTATGTGATAAAGGAATTTATTTTATCTGTGTTAATAATAAGTATTGCATGGTGTGCAAAAACTGGACTTATTACATGTAGAAATGTCAACAGCAAGTGATACTATAAACTTTGACTTGAACTGATAAGACATGAAATTAACATATATCTTTAACACCCATATCCCTGTGTAATCAGTCCCAATCATATAGGTCTTAAAATGTCACTTTCCTTTCGTAGGTACGTAAGGGATTTTCAGAATAAATATATATTTCTGTTTAATCAGTCTCAGTCATAATATCATATAAGTATTAAAATGTAACTTTCCTAAGTGATTACATAAAATGAATGGTTAATCTGTTTAAAAAATATACATATATTTGAAAGTAAGTTTCTGGAAAACATTTTCAAAGTAAGTGGTTTTAAGATAACTAGGCTTAAGTATATCCAATTGATAGCTTAGCCAGAACATATTTAAATTCAAACCTATTGTAGATGATGTTATAGTATTACAGAAACAGTGATAACTTTGAACCAGTATTAAAAAAAATTTTTTTTTTCCATTATTATTATTATTATATATAGTATAGCAACAATTATGTCTAATACCGTAACATTTGTTATTAGAAAATGCTGTAAGGTTTGGATCTTACTTATTATAGCAAAAGTGCGGAACTTTAATTTTGCATAACTTATTGGTGTGATGATTATTCATTAAGGAAACATGATGACTGTATAACTGAGAATATATACATTCTGTTTTAATGGGTAACATCACATAAAAAAATCCATTATACGTTAATAAAATTTGTTTTTTAAAGTCAAAATTTAAAACTGGATTCACATTTGTCTAAAATATTTAAACCTGTTGGTGTTTCCTTTTCTTTAAGGATATATATATATATATATATATATGTTGTTAACATATTGATTTAAAAAATTAAGTAACTGCACAATGAATAACTTTTTCTACTGGAATTTGTTTTGACAGAATTTATAAAAAATAAATTTGAATAAACTAAAAATTACTAAAATAATATTTACATGAAAAAATTTGGCATTTAAAGAATTGATTGAATGGTTGTCAGTAAGTAGACATAAATACAATCAAATTTAAATGTGTCATTAAGTAAAAAAATTGAAACAAAACAGAGTTCATGTGAAATGTTGTTATAATGGGAAAATAGTTTTTACTTTTCCCAGTAAATGGTGATAGATACTTAATAACTGAAAACAATAACATATTTCTACAGAAAAAATAATGCTGTGAGTGACAGTTTTTTAAAGAGTCTGTAGAGGAACAAAGTCTGACTAAACATTTTAGATAACCATATTTGAAATTCAACACTGCAATATTAAAAATTTATATTTAGAATCTTGCTTAATTAATTTTGTAATATACATTACTTTTTATTCAATACACAAAATATTGAGCTTGAGTTGATTTTTAGATATAAATTAGGATTTGAAAGGATTTTTTTAAACAAGGATTTAGAAATAAGAAAAATTGATGGCAATATGTCAAAAAAAGTTAATTTGTGCTAGTTTAAAACAAAATTTTAGTAAATTTCTACATACATAGGCAGAAAAATAAAAAAATATGATAATTTGTAAATCTTTTTACTTTGTAATCTGCAATTTATTTTGAGGAATACAGTTAGAATTGTATTTTGTATTTGGTAATGAAATAATAATTTTCTTTGTGACAAATAGTGGAATATGGGTTTGAGTCACCTTGGCAACTTAGAAGTAACCTTAAAACAAAGTATGCTAGACCAAAATCCGAGCTTTTTCGAGAAAAATCTCCCTTTTGAGCGTGAAGTGGTGTTTGATATCATTGGAAGGAAACTATCAGGTATGTTGACTAGTTATTAGTTAATTGTCACAGAGTTATTGACACAATTTATAAAAAGCATTAGGTGAAACATAGCTTTTAGTTAATTGTTGTGACATCATAAAACTGGTTTGTGTTATTCTGTTGTTTATGTTGCGTGATACATGCCTGTGCAAATTGCACCAATGATACAGGCCTGTAAATTTAAACTTCATAGAAGTTGTTTTGGTTTTGATAATGGATTTTCCACAAATCAGCTCTGCAGATTTCAAAAATAATATTTTTTTATCACGTAAGGAGTTTTTACAAATTGGAAAGACAAAAATACTCTTACTTTGATCAAATTATTATTTCGTTTACCACAATGAACATTTTTTATTATTATGTTTGTTAAGCTTGGGTTCTAGAACGATCGATAGGACTCTCATGTTGCAATTGGTCTAGAGAAATCTATAGTCATTGGTTGTCAACATTTTAACCATAACAAAATGTGACCCAATTTCAATGAAAATACTTCACTTACCTAAAAGTACATATGACATTTTATGAAAAATGTATATGGGATGGAAAAAAATGGATATCATTTTCAGATTCAGTGTACAGAAATTACTGTAGAACATGTAAAAATTTCAAAACAGTAAAACCATCGCAGGCCTGTGTGATCATTCAATTTGTTCAAGCTAGCACAATTGCCTTGATGTGTGAATTACTCATCTTTTTTGTATAATGCAAGAAAAAAAAGAAATGAAATCAACAAATTACAATGTTGTAATTATACTTGTCATAAGACATAAGTATTAGGCCTAATATTTTTAAACACTACATTCTTTATCTAGTCCATTATTTGATCTTCTGAAATGGATATGATGAATATAGTATGGTTGGAATACTATTATTATACTCTCTTCTAATTCATGAAAATCCCTAAGGGACTTGAGAAAGAATGTAGTGTTTAAATTTATAATAGGCCTAATACTAATGTCTTATGACAAGTATAATTATAATCATGCTTTACTAACTTGTAAAAGGCATTCACACCATAACTAGCTGGGGTGTTATCTTTTCAGTAAAACTAAAGTGCATTTTTTATAAAGATGATTTTTTTACAGCAAACAGATTTTCCCACATTATTTCCTCGTTTGCAAGATATCGAACTATATTCTGAATAAACTAGAAATAATACTATTGTTACGTATCTGCTTGTTTGATAATTTCCGGTAAAATTCTTTCCGAGGAACTTCAATGATACAAGACCTATCTTGATTAAACCAGTTTATTTCTCGATACAAACTTTTAGTACACAGTAATTCCACTGTCAATACTTTTCTCGTCACTTTAAACTTAACTAATTTTATAACACACGCTATAAATCACAGCAATTCACAATCTCGAAAACACACACACTCGCTCAAAACAGAATCGTAAATTACCCGAAACTCTCTTCATTCCATTCAATCCTGCAGGCTTTCCCTACCAGGCTTATATACTAAAAAAGAGGGCGTCCCGAACAAAGTCGGTCTTACCCGATAATTCATGATCATTCGAGAAATTCATCACGTGTTACCAGCTTTACATGACTTCCGCTGTCGTAACACTACCCCTTCCTTAGTATTGTTCTTCCCGAACAATAGCCACTTACATGAAATCAGTAGATAATTAACAATAACTTAATTAAATGTACAGACTTTACAAACACAAAATTAAAATACAACAAAGTCTCTTAATTTTACAGGATGTTTCTTTTTTCGTACTGGTCTCTGTCTTATTGGCTTCTGGTTTATGTGGGATTCATCTGCTCCATCAGGAAATGTCCCATTATCGGTAGCAGTTATATCAGTGGTAGTAACTTCATTAATGGCTTCACTGTTTTCCTTCTGAAAACCGGGTAGAGTTTATTCTTCAACAGTGGCTTTTTCAGGTGACACGTCTTCAGCAGCGTCATTTGTTCTGTTGTTCATTTCATTCCAACTGAAATGCCCTGGACCATGATAACGCCATAGCCTGTTGGCATGCATCACATTTGGCTTACTTCACCAACCACATTTTATTCGGAAAGTCACGTCTGAGAGACAATCCACTATGTCATATGGGCCTTCCCATGGAGAAGACAACTTAGGAGACTTCCCTTTGGTCTTCCTGGGATTATACAACCACATCTTGTCTACTGGTACAAAGCTGACTTCAGTAGATTTCTTATCATAACATAGCTTCATAGAATTGACGCAGCACAACTTCCTGTAACTTTCTCGGTATAACTGTTTGCCAGGTCGTCACTTTCCCATCTGCATTCTCCCATCTCCAGACAAGACTACCATCTTCAAGCTTCAACTGGGCCCATTGTGCCCAATAGTTCTTTGTCACAGGGTTTAAACTAGACACCTTCTCCCAAGCTGGGCGCAAAACACATGCTTGTAAAAAATCGGCTTCAAATCTTGGTCTTTCCCCTGTTCTGCTTTAATATCTATACTTGGTTCCATTTCACCATCATCAACTCCTTCAGTCACTTTGACTTCAGCTTCATGGCACCTGGTTAGTTTAACCTCTCTTTTGCAGCAATGTCTGTAGTCGTTTTTCCAGGGTCTTTGGCTCAATCCGTTGGCATTTCCATGAGATTTTCCTTCTCTGTATTCAATATCATAATTATACTAGTCTATTTTTCCAATCCAACGTTCCAGTTGTCCCTCTGGGTTCTTTAATGATCTTAACCAGTGTAACACAGCATGGTCTGTCCTGATGGTAAACCTAGCTCCGTAGAGGTAAGGATGGAAATATGTCAGACTCTTTACTATAGCAAGGAGTTCTCTCCATGTTACACAGTAGTTCCTCTCTGGTCTGCTTTCACCTTGTCAGGATCAGTTCGCACCCCATGCTCA